CGTCTATTTCTTGCCAGATACGTTCAGTCCTGGTCAAACAATCTTCACCCGACGAGATCTTTTCTCTAGTTGATAATTTAATGTGATCTTCTTCTTTGTCCTTGGTATCCATGTAAAACAATTTTCTATTGTCAATAACAACAGGAGAAGTAGGAACAGTAGCAGCAGTACGACGAGTAGTGGCAGTTGTAGCAGAAGGAGTAGGAGCAGTAATGGTAGCAGCAGTAGATGATCTTAAATCTACTTCAAAATTTTCGCAGTCTAATGAATCCACTCTTGACGAGACCCTGGCCATATTTGTGATTTCGTTGCCTCTATTGATTTTGAACGGTTCCAAATGACTCCTGGTTATCGTGGAATCCAATTTATATTTGTTGTATTTACCATCGGTAGGAATTTCGTCACATCGACCTTCATCTTCCAATATGTCGTCTATTTCTTGCCAGATACGTTCAGTCCTGGTCAAACAATCTTCACCTGACGAGATCTTTTCTCTAGTTGATAATTTAATGTGATCTTCTTCTTTGTCCTTGGTATCCATGTAAAACAATTTTCTATTGTCAATAACAAGAGGAGAAGTAGGAATAGTAACAAAAGTATTAAAATATGGGTTAAAAAAAGTTGGGGATTTGAGATCATTTGATGAATCTTGGCTTGTTTTCTTTTTCATTTCCTTGGAGATGATATCATAGTCTCTTTCTTCGGAAACAATTATGTCATTTCTAACAGAATGTGACTCGGTTTGAGGATGTTGGGAATGGTTGTTGGAATCAGTAGGATCAACTTCGGAATAAGTTGATGGTTCTACGGAATAAATCGAACTTTGTGGTTCTGAGGTTTGTTTTTGGTGGATCTCTTGGCTTATTCTCCTCGCACCAGCTTGATGTTTGTGGAATAAACCACGAACATATTGTTTTCTTATTGGTTTCTCGAGATAATAAAACTCTTGAATGTTCAATAATTTAGGTCTTGAATTGTGTGACTTGTGAAATCTGGGAATTTTGTTTGAGATTCTTGAAAACATATTGGTTTGAGTTGCTTGTTTGTGTATAAATGAAGAAGAAAGGAGTGAGTACAAATAAAATTGGATTTCTGTTGTTATTTCGCAATTTATACTTCCAAAAGTTGCAACTCAATTTTTTTTGCCGCCTAAGAATATTTTATCAATCAGATTTTACTTACACACGAAACGTAGATCTGGAACCGCAAACTGTAACTTATTTGTTCTACGCAACTTCTAAAATCCATTAAGGGGTTGGAATCTTGATTGTATAGTTACCAGTTGTAGTCTCTAAAACATCACAAACCAATAATCTTGATACCCTTTAATCTAGGTCGGATCCAATTCCAATAAGGATGTGTTTCCCAGCATTCAGTATATTTTACCAATGCATTAACATATCTGAGTCAGATACCAACTTAGAAGGTATAAGCCAATCCCTTCGTCGTCTATATGCTTTTTCTGATTTTTTAAAACTCTTGGTCAGTTTGTTTTACCAATTACATGTAAAAAAAAAACGCCTAACTGAGTCAAATTCCAATCAATATTTCACTTCAACAGTAACAGTCTACACTAGCCCACATCAACTTCTTATGTTTAATTGAATTGGTGGTCTCACCCGTCATCGTTTTCTGATGAAGTTGTAAACTTGGAATTTGGATACCAGCTAAACTTACATTGATTTAATCTCCATATATTCAATCTGAATCTTTCTGGTGGGTGGGGGATTAAGAGAGTGACTGACAATTCTGATCAAATCTTGCACTTAGTAATTATTTATCAACGCTAGTATTAGAGCTCACTTGGTAATGGCAGATAGACTCTTCACATGACTTTCGCAATTGGATACGGTTCAGAGATTTGGTACTTTTAAGTAAATGCATTTATTTGATAATTACACAGCTATGAAAAGATGCTTTGCCAAACTAGTAGCACGGATGGATACACCTTATTACACCCCCCCAGGCAATCATAACTATCTCACTGGTAGTACTATTTTTGGATATAAATGCTAAATCATGACATTTCTAATTATGCAGTTGCCTCTCAAATCGAATGTAGTTTCGAACCATGTATAGCTACTCTAATTCTTTTTACCCCTTCACTAGTGGTGGTCAACCACTCAGCAATTGAACATAATACCCCTTTCTTACACATTATCATCATGATATACAAATCTAGTTCTTTTGGGATTCAAAGGTGCATGTCTAATATATGACTCATTATCAGGAGGTCGTTCCAATTTATCATTAGTATTTAACATGCTCTGAATGCTCAACAAGATCAGTTCAATCGAACATGCCGGGGTCCAATCCTCTCCTAATAAATTAAGACAAATATGCCCATTGCTATAAATATGAGGATGGATCGGAATGGTTGATTTTTCAATAATCTCAATTGAGGAAGTATCATCATCTTGAGTTAGATCAATTGGTGGTTCGTAGATTATGAATTTGACTTGGGGGCAATCTACTGGATAATCTTCTGTTATTTGAATACTTAGATAATATAAATCAGTTTCAGGATATAAATTATGATTACTGATTTTAATTTGAAATATGAAATCAGTTAAATTTTCATCATTACTTATAAGTGTTATACCGGGCAATGTGGTTGCATTTAATGCTTTGTATTCCTTAAGTAATCGTCTATAGAATGGATGTGGCGGCATAGTTTATATAACTCTCTCAGTTTGATGGGTTGTTAACAACAGAAAGATCTTTCTTCGTATTGAAAAGTTGAGAAGGGTTGAGTGACTAAACAATGGGGTTGCCAAAAAAGAAAAAGATTGTTAATTAATAAGGAATAAATAAATAAATTCTATCTAATAACTTTTTCTAGATATAAAAGTATGTACAATTTTTTTTCTATAAAGGTAATGCTTTAGTCGTTCTACTAGCCGTTGTTGACGGTTTCGTAACTTTTGATCTTGCCTGTGTCGATCTTCCTTGTGATCGTCTTACAGTTTGACTACTTCTTCTTCTTGTTTTCTTTGAAAATTTTCTCAGCCCATTATTATAACTTGATTTTGCACCCACCTGACTTCGTTTATTTCTGGTTGAGCTTTCTTGTGTACCATGCAGCACCACTTTCTTTAACTCTTCAATAATCCTTTGGTCCTCTTGAGATGGGTGGAAGTGTCTCGAAACGACACCAGTAGAGACTAGTCGGGATGAAGCAGTAGTCGCGATAGTTCTTGAAGTTGCTGATGATGAAGTCAGCTTTTGAGTTGAATGACTTCCAGTAGAAGTATCCTTCTTCTTTCTTTCTCGTGATAAGTTAGTTAAGCTCTTCTTAAAATAACTAAAATACTCCAATTGATCTTTCTTAATCTCTAATAACTTTGCAAAATCCTTTTTATTAGTAGGTAACTTAATCAGCATATCTTTAAGAGTTCGATCAGAAACTACCTGATGAGCAGGAATATCAATTTCAGTAGAAGCATTCATTCGAATATGACTTAATTCGTCATAACAATGTTCAATATGAGGTAATTCATCCTTATCTATATCACCACCAAAATTATTATTTGGTAAATCAATTATCGACAATTGTCTAGCACTTACAAATGAATCACGATATCTAAAGTTAGATAAATCACCACCACCATTAGAAGCTCCCAGAGCAGGAACGGCCCGATTCAAAGCTCTTGAATTCGTTTCTTTAGAATTTGGTCTCGACGAGACAGTACTAAATTGAATCTTAATTTGTTTATGACCTCGTAATACTGAATCAGCATTCTTTCCAACTTTGACATAATTGGTGGCAAAACCTGCTTTCATAATTTGATATTCAACTAAACAATCTTCAGTTAATAAATTGAAAAATATCCGTTCAACATCGGTTTTTTCCAAACTTCTACCTTTACCATGATATGGATTATTATTATGACCCATTTTGGAAATTTTATTATGATTTAAACCCTTGAAAACATCTTGACAATGAAGGACAGTTACTCTATCTTCTTGAATTGATCGAACTAAATTGATAATGTTCTTGGCATGATCAGTACAATCCTTTTCAACTGTGCTAACGCTGGTATAATTTTGACAATTATCACATTTCTTATGACAATCTTTTGGATCGAATGATTCATTAAAGTATTGTAAAACTTGTTTTCTTCTACAATCAGTAATATTCTCACAATATTGCACCACTTGTCGTAATTTAGCCAAATGATTCTCCTTCGCTTCTTCAGTTATATCTTGATCCCTTTGGATCAAACCTTGCATAGATCTAGCATCACGATAGCCATAAAACATAATACATTCCGATTCGAGTCCATCTCTCCCAGCACGACCAGTTTCTTGATAATATCCCTCCAAACTTCTTGGTAATGTCAAATGAATCACAAATCTCACATCCGGTTTGTCAATACCCATACCAAATACAATCGTAGCACAAATGACGTGAATTTTCCCCTTTTGCCAAAGATTTTGAACTTCACTTCGATCATTAGCTTCCATACCTGCATGATAAAATGAGGTTTTCAACCCAAACAGATTCAACCTAGAACTGGTTTGTTCACATGCTTGCTTTGAATGACAATAAATGATTCCTGTTTGATTATTATATCGACTGGTGATATAATTTCTGATCCATTCTAAATAAGGTCCTTCTTTCTTCTTGATTTGATAATATAGATTAGTTCTATTAAAACTTTGTTTCAAAAATACCGGATCTTTCATTTTTAAATGATGCATAATATCCATCGTGACCTTTTCATTTGCAGTAGCAGTTAATGCCATAACTGGAACCTTGGGGTATTTCTCCTTGAAAAATCCCATACCTTGATAATCGGGACGGAAATCGTGACCCCAAGAACTTAAACAATGAGCTTCATCAATAACCACTCGAGCTAATTGACCATTTTCATACAATCTGGTTATAATTCGTTGAACCATGGTTGAATTATTAGCTTTTTCGGGAGATAAGTAAACGATATTTAATAATCCTTCTCTAAACAAATTCATAATATGTTTATTATCATCAGCACTAGCTTTGGAACTTATCATACCTGCTTTAATGTCTAAATCCAATAAATGACCAACTTGATCTTGCATTAATGAAATCAAAGGTGAAATAACCACGGTGGTACCCTTTGTTTTCCCACTCTGGATTAATGAAGGTAATTGATAACAAAGCGATTTACCACCACCTGTAGGCATTAACACAAATACATCCTTATTCATTAATGTTGCCACTATAGCTTCTAATTGATTCGAACGGAATGATTTTAATTTAAATACCGAATTAAGCACCAGATACACATCTTGAATAAAGGGTTCTGAACCAGGGGGAATATTTTCCTTATTCACGAGAGTTCCATTTTGAGTTGGGATTGGTTGGCCTCCATTTATGATATTCATTAATTCATCATCATCGTCATCAAAATCACTATCGGGGATGCTTAGAGGTACGTTCGTTTTGTTGGAGTTTTCCGCCAAGATATTATTTATTGAATTGGGAATTGCTAATATCATCGAATCATCATCATCAGAAAAATCCAGCTCATCATCATCATCAAGAATTTCAACAACATCCAATTCACGCTCTTGATTATACTGCGTTGAATAATTGATGATTTCTTTCGGTTCTTCTTCATCGTCTTCTACTTCACCTGGCAATTTAACTCGTTCAGCATCAGCATCATCATCATCGATTGTAAATGGTCGACTTTGTACAGTACCATAGTGAATTCCAAACGTTTCTGCAGTTTCAGGTGACATCCTTAGCTCTTCTAATTCATCCACCCCAAAATCCTCAGTATCAACAATCTCATCATCTTCAATAGGTTCATCATCATCATCTTTGTCAGTCTGAGTATCAGATTCAACCGAATCAGAAAATGATCCATCATCACCATATTCCTCATCAATTATAAAACTACCAATATCATCAATTTCATCTCGGTCTTGAGTAGGTGTTAACAATCCTTCCATTGTCTGATCTCCAAAATCATCCTCAACATCAGAAATTTGCGTGCTTTCAACTAGATTTCTGGCCGCTGCTAATCGACTAGGTTCAGCAGCCATGGCGGTGGTTCTGCGAGGAGGAAGGGTGAATGCTGGAACTGACGGAACTGCAAAAACATCCGCGTCTCTTGTTAATGTAGCTGCAACTGAAGATTCTGTAAGGTCCTCAGTTGTCTCACTGACAACTGGCGTAGATTGAATAATTGGACGAACATGTAGTGAAGCTGGAGGAGGTACTGGAGGCTGGATGGACTTGGTCGGCAAACTGTCAAATACTTCCAAAATTGGTGAAGATGATTGTATGAATCCATTCCCTAGATCGGTTTCTTCAGAGAGTGTATTTTTGTCATTTTTGGATGTCACTTCTTCTTCACTTTTGCATTTCGTAACAAAATCCAATGAAATATTGTTAGATGTGATTGATTCCTGGATGTTGGATCTTGATTTTATATCTTTTAACTTTTCTTCGATATATTTCAATTTTGGTTCAAATTCATATTTATAGAATGATTGTTTTGCATCTAAAGAAATCAGAGTAGACTCACTAGTTTTGAATCTTTGTTCCAATAGCGCAATTTTCTGATCTTGAAAAGCAATTAATTGTAAAAGAAGATCAGTTTGATCATCCGCCTTAGGCTTCTTTCTTGTTAAGGATTCAGACTCATCATTAGGACTTGGTCTCTTACCAGCTGTAGAAATAGTCTTCCTGGAGGTTGATTGAAATACTGCGGAATTTGAACTGCCATTCATTGTCGACTGTCCAGTTGGACTAGGATTCTCTCGTGCTACAGACAGTATTGTTGTAGTGGTAGTTGTAGAAATAATTCGACTGGGTCTAGTAGGACTGGTTAAATCAACAAAATGCACATCTTCATTATTATTGATAAAATCTTGGTCAGATCCTTCCGAAGTAGGCTTGACTGTAGAAACTGGTAACCGTGATTGAATTTTACGCTTCGCTTGTTGAGACTGTCGTATTCCTTTCAATGGATCAGGTTCCAAATCTCCTGTATCCGCGCATACACCCCGAAGATCATTTCCTGTTGTTATACTACCATTTCTTAAGATTGCTGATCCAATACCATTGTTGGTGTTTATATTATTATTCGTCTTTCTATGGGGGATGTTTGAAGTCGTTGTCGATATGTTATTATTATTTCCTGTTGCAAACCTGGATGATGGTAGCGATTCATTTATACCACTTGGTATTGACGTTCTAATAACGGATGTCGAATTAGCCATACTCATAGATCTTACATTTATCAGCAGAGGGGTAGCGGTGGGTATCGATGTCTCTGTCAAGCTTCGCGTAGCAGTTGGAGGTCTGGCATCTCTGGTGATGGTTGTGATTGGATTGGATGTGTTGATTTTAGGATATTTTGTTAGCAATAATCGTAGTGTATCTGGAGACGGTATATGTGGTTTTTCTGTATTCACCCATGTCAACTGAACTTCTAGATTATTTGAGTTGATCATATTCAGTTTGATGATTTAAAGAAAACCAATCTGAATGTGCTGCCATTTCTTAGTTGAATCTTCTTCATTATTACGCGTCCCTACAAAATGTAAATAAAAAAAAAAGAGACCAAAAAAAAAGCACTCACGTGATATATATCATGTGACCAAGCTTTAATCATTTTTTTGCAGGTTTTGGTTTATCTGGGGGATCTAAACTGCAAATTCATGCATTTTTGACATTTTATGCAAAATCATATAGGATCAAAAAATATTTCATTAAAATCACTCTAAAACCATGGCTTGTAAATGTAAGACTCTCTAAGGGGGAGGGATATGGTACCTTGCATTAGTCCAAATATGGAATTGGAAATACGATGTAACTACTTTCACTTGCTGTTGCCAATTTTAGAGTGTTGGTGAGGTAGAACTATGGCCAAGACAAGCATTTAACCCGGCAGAAATTCTTCAAGAAGAAAACAATACTTCTCTCCATTAGAAGCTGCTCAAATGAAAAGTTTACTGCGCTAGCTAATGGGTGTATTCTCCGCTAAACCATCCGTACAAAAGTTGCTACTGAAAACAATAGAAGAAACCATTTTTTGCCCGGGGTTTGAATAAGCACTAAAATTATTGTATTGTCCAGTCTTGAACTATTAATACATCCCTGATAAGAAGGCAATAGATAGAATTCTTATGGCCGTTCTGGGATCTTTTTGCCTTCCACTAATCCCAAGGCTACCATGAAAATGTCAAAACCTGTTGGTCTTGAATCGTCATAGTCGCCAAGAAACCCAGACCCAAAAGCTTTCGTCGAGATGAACATGAAAACATATTCAAAGCCTTTCGATGGGCTAACATTATTTTCCTCAAGTTTAATTTTAGGTCACATTAACACGTACTCGAGCCATTTTTTGTCATCACTTCAAAGGATACTTAGAGCAATATGAGCTCTGAGTTGGTACCCTGATTTTGGATCAAAGTTTTAGATTAAAATTTAACTTTTCTTCATTAAAGGAATTTAAGTTTAACTCGAAAATTTCAAGCTGAAAATGGTAGCAGCTTTTTTTTGGGGGTTCTCATTGTATTAGTTATCTTTGTCTCTCCCTTTTCTTAGATGTGTAAGTTTAAATTTATTTCTCCACACTCGGAAAATGAAATTTCCCCCCCAAAAAAAAAATTAATAATAGAAATCGACTTTGATTTGTTAGTTTCTTTACATTAGTTGCTGCAGCCTGTGATGATGTCAGTGGTGACATTGGGTGATATTTCTTTTGTTTGAAGTTTTTGCGAACGATGAAGTGGCGAAGGTAATGTATGGTGGAGGGGTGGGGTGGAGACATGTAAACGGTCAGAATTCTCCACAAGGAAAGTTTATGGGAAATTTTGTTGCGCCTTGATATTGGATTTGTACTTACGTCGCAATTTTTCCAAAAAAAATTTTTAAAAGCGAACGAAAAAAAATAATTTTATAGTTGTTCCGGAGTCGGACAATTCTTATTTTTCCATAATATAAAATTAAATTGGAAAAAAAAAAAAAATTAAAATTGATGCCATATGAATCAAAAATTAATTTCTAATCAAATGACAATTGTAAAAATATCAAAAAAACCGTTCATTGTATTACGGACCCAACCAAGTTTCTTATCAGCGAGAGACTCCGCGTGAGAAATATGTTACACAGAAACAATCATAATTAACTGAGAGGGGATCTGTTGTGTTAAGACTTGACTTGTAAGTTCATTAATCACTCGGAATTCGGATTTCTTTGATTTTGATTACTGAAATCCATATATAGAACCATCCTACCGTTTTAACTTGAGATGCCTAAAATTTGTAAATCAAGCGAGAATAAACACGGGCCGCAACATCCAAAAAAAAAAATCACCTTATGTTTTCAATTGTTTTGATTTTTTTTTTAGGAATCGTACAATTTTTCTATTCAGCTACGACATGAACGACGAAAACGCCTATTTCTTGGTCTAGATAAATGATGCAATTGTATTTGTAATCTATTTCGTGGAGAAGTTATTATTAATTCCCACTTCTCCGTAATATTTGATATGCAAAATTATTATTCCAGCAATGCCTCATTTTCGTATTCTGATTTCTGTTTTATGGAATGATTACCCTAAATATCTTTTGAAACCAAAAATAAAATTAAATAAAAAAAAAAGTAAAACAAAAAATGCAAAATTTCCCCCCTCCTCCTTCTAAAATAAAATTTTATTTTTTATTACATATTGACTAGGTGGTGTCGCTGTCAATCTCCTCTTCTGCTGACTCAACCTTCGTTTGTTTTTTTCGGACATTAATCTTCTTTAAGAATGTGAAAAATCATTGTTTGGTGCGACTTTTACGACGCCGACATTTACTTACAAACAAGGTTATAGCAAGTAAAAAGCTTGATCTCACATTAAATAACACTACTTGACTCTGACTAGCATAAACCTTTCATATTTTTAGATTAACGTTTTGTACCTCAGAATAACTAGCGAGATCCCGCTGCAACCTCAGACTATTTTTTCAGCGTGGGTGGTACGTGGGAAGGTGTGGTAAGGTTCCATTGCCAGGAAGGGCTGGGAATTGCGAAATCCAAGAGGGGAACTCCAATCTTACATCAAAATATTATTGAACCAAAAAAGAAATTACATTTCTATTGTTTTAGGCAAAAAAAAAAATCAAAAAAAAAAAAGTTAGACTCGTCACTCCATGGATCTATTGGTAACTATGTTCCAATACCACTCAATAAGTATAACCGATGAGCAAAATAATTAGACTAAAACTACGTTTCATGACGTACACCTTAGCCCAATGACACGCCCAATTGCAACCATGTTGACCATTTCGTTTTAAGTTTTCTTGTTTTTTTTTTCACTAACCTTTGTAAAAATTAATTTCTATTTTTCTTTGCTCATCATAATTATTTTTTTAATTATTTTATTTTTTCTTGAATTATTTTTTAATTTCTTTCTTTCTTTCTTTCTTAATATAACAAATTTTTTAAAAAATAATTAGAATTCAATTTTCTAAATTTATTTATTTAATATATAAATCTGAAACTTATTCCTTTTCATAACAAAAAAAAAAAACAAAATTCGATTTATCAAAAAAAGGATTTTATAACTCATCGTTAAATTTTCCAATCTGTTTTTTTTTTGGTTTTAGTTTAAAGTAATATAAAAAGTATCCAATCTTTCCTCAAAAAAGTTAAAGATATAATAGACCTAACAGTATTCACCTGAACATACCAATCCAGCTTCACAACTAATAACCACTACATTTTAAAAAGAGTTCAAGTGAATTTTATTTAAGAGTTTTTTTTTGCCGTTTGTTTATTTTTTACATTTTTTTATTTAATATCACAGGAAAAAATGTCAACCTTATTAAATAATGCGAATGTCGGATCATCCAATAATTCGCCATCATTAGCTACTTTTGATGCCATGTTAGCTAAGCAACAGCAACAGCAGCTTCATACAACACAGGCGAACAAGCAGTCGTCAATGTCATCAAGTTTGACTGCTTCCTCAACTTCATCTTCAAGTTCAGATCTTGTTGATTTGCAGGGAGATTTATTGGCTGACTTATGGCAAACATCTACTAATGACTCAGTCTTGTCAAACACTGTATATACTAAACAACCACAACCATTACAGCCAGCCCAATCATTGTTTGGTCAACAGCCGCAACAACAATCACAACCAAATTTATTCAATCCAAACCCCGTCTACACAACTCAAAAACCAAATTGGACTTCATCCAATGTCTCCATATCTCCGCCGGTAATGAACCCCCTCAGCCAACATTATCAAAAGCAATCTAATAGCTTATCACAAGGCTTTAGTGCTCCATTGACCTCCACATCTCCATCATTATCAATGGATACTTTTAACATGTATGACACGTTGGTAGTGCCTAGATTATATGATGACGAGGCATCTTTCAGCTTTGCCGGTCAACAACAGCAACAACAAAAGCCACAACACCCGGCTGTTCAATTTACGATTCCAAATGATAATGACGAGTTATTCAACTTTGAACATCAACATCAATTACAACAACAACACCACCTTCATCAACATCAATTTATTCCTACTGGAATAAATTCCCCTCCAATCGCGCCAAGTCCTCAACAACAGCAGCCACAGCCACATTTCCATAAACAACAACAACAGGAATTTGTCAACCAAAAGATTCAAGCTAACACAGCAAATATCAACACCCAATTATACAAGACCGAGTTATGTGCCTCATTTATGAAGATGGGAGTATGTCCGTATGGAAATAAATGTCAATTCGCTCATGGTGAAAATGAATTAAAGAAGGTTGATAGACCACCTAAGTGGAGATCTAAACCTTGTGCAAATTGGACTAAATATGGTAGTTGTCGTTATGGAAATAGATGTTGTTTCAAACATGGTGATTAATTTTAGAGATCGAGAGACTTTTATTAAGTACTATTTATTAATTTTGTTATTATTATTATTGTTATTGGTATTTGCTATTTTTTAATTTTTGGCTTATTTCAAAAAAACACATGGGAGAGAGAATGAGAGAGAGAGAGGTAATGGAAAAAGGACACTTGGTTATTTTATTTTGTAATCCTCAAACCGGTTGTTTGTTATTATTATTATTAGTATTGTGTGTGCTTTTCAACGTTTAACTTATTATTTTTATGATTATTATTATTACTATTGCGAAGAATGTTTTTATGAGGTTTTTGATGATTACGCTTTTATTTATTTGTGAAGAAGAAGGTATATAGGTATTGGGAATACCAAAATGTATAGTATATATAACTTGCATGTATAGTTCCTCCTCCCCACCACCCTTTTAATATATTATTTATTCTGTTTTAAAAGTTTATTATTGTAGAATGAATGGGTTTATGAACAGTAAGTCCATACGGAGGTTAATTCCGCGCTATTTCCCCGGGAAGGCTCATGCCGCGGAGCTCACATGTAAGATTCACTAAGAATTAGGTAGGCATGGAGAAAATAAGGTGATATTTATTTATAGATATTCCTCCGGGATATGCACAAAGAATGACTAAAAAGCTTGTCAACGAATCAACAGTCAGAGCCATTTCAAATGCCGCACAATATTCCATGTTGAACCGTTTTTGAATGGCGAATGCAAGCGAGCATATTCACCTGCATAAACTATAAAAGTACGTTCGCGCATAGCACTTGGCGCATGAAGGTCATGTGTCAAAGAGAAACCGTAATGACTTTCTTCGAGATGAACTAGTACAATAATTGGACTAGTGTTGCTCATCTAGCGAAGGAGGAAGACTGAAGTGAGAAGCTAGCTTCCAGAACTAACAAAAGAAATGATACAAACGAAACGACAAATACGAGCATGCAAAACTTCATAGCGAACTCTAGACCCGGGGCCATAGGTCTGCAAAAGGATCCTAAAAGTCACTTACATAGGTACGCTCGTCTCTAACATGCTCGTTTCTCTAATCCAGAAACCCCTTCAGTTCCTGTCCTACACAAAGATGAACTGCGGCATACCCAACGCATCAAGCCCTATAACTCATTGATCGTATCTACTGGGGAAAGTTCAGGCAAACGATATACCACTACAGTTTCTGACTGTAATACAATCACTCATCAACCATGGCAGTCATCATAAAAAGTTAGACAAACTATTAACCTAGAAGAGAGAAGCAGCTTAGAAAAAGCTACAAATGATCAATCTATTATTACAGCCTCAGATTGAAAACTATAGACATCACTTAGTTGTGTGTGGTGATGAACGGTTCGTGATGTTGTCCACAGCGCCCACAGCTAAAACGTGTGAGTCAATCGAAAAGAAAGAACTACAAGTAGTCCCTACAATCCAATTATCACTGCAACGGAACATAACCTATCCTCATCGACTGTTATAGTTGATAAGGAAAGAAAGAAACCAAAAAAATGGCCATGAAAATTTTTTTCTGATTTGATTCAGTCGTTTTATACAGTGAAAAATCGAAGTCCGGGTAATGTGTTTTTTCTTTCTGTCAGGAGAAAAAAATTTTCACTACTAGACAGCATTTCTCTATGATTCATCAAAAGGGCAGCGATCTCTCTATTGAGTAAGTCTAACAAAGTATAAACAAATAGTAAGGATATTCTACAAAAAAATGACTAGTGGAAGTGTAGTAGCTACTAGCTGGGAAGAAGTAGAACCAATCTATGAGAAAGGGATTCAAACCTCGTTAACTTCAAGAAGAATTGAGACTTTACGTTCAATTCAATCAGTTTTGCAGCACATCCCAGAATTGGAATTGAACAAGATTTCATTATTATTATTAAAGACATACAACTATTATCAAGACAATAATTCAAGACATGAATTGTTAACTACGTTAATGAAGTTGATGCAATTAAATGAAAAGTATTTATTTGGTTTTGTTAAATTTATTCATAAAGAAGTCAGTGGTACAACTTTGGCAATAACTGATTATTTGACATTATTACAATGGATTAATAAATTCCACGTTTATTTAGCACAAGATCCTGAGTTGGTCAAAGGAGGTGATTTGTTGATTGATACCCATGCCATTATTTTAAATAAATGTATTGAATATGAAGGTTTAAAGAAGGAACAACATCGAAGGAGAATTCATGACTCAGCTATTAATACAACAAAGGCATCAATTGTCCAAGCCTTGGTTCATACGAAAGACAAGGAAGCTTATATCCAATTAATTTGTAATGTCACAAAATCTAAAGCTATTACTTCAAGTGAGGTCTTATCTATTTTAGCAGCATTAAACTTGGCAATTAATGAATTGATACCTTCCAAGCCTTCTTTACTTGACACGTATGTTACTTCCAACGGTGACAGCATTCTTGACTTTTATGTCAATCAAGTTTTATTAAGTAAAGTACCACCATCTCGTGCATCTTTGACTTTATTTGGAACTTGTATAGAAGGATTAGTGAGTTTGGAAAATTTCACTAAAGTTTTATTACCTAACATTGAAAAGGCAATTTTAAGATCTTCTGAAAATTCATTTGGTGTCATTTTACCAATCTTATTCAAGATATTTCCAAAAATTGATATCTCAGAATCATTTGTCAAATCAAAATTATTGTCATCAATTATTTCTGGTCTTAAATCTCCTAAGGAACAAGTGAGGAATGGTGCTCTTGAAACTTTTGAATCAATATTATCTAATGATTTTATTGGCTGTACTTCATTACCTGTATTGGAAACAATTGTGAATGAAATAATCAAGGCATATAAAGCAACCTCGAATGCTGATTCTAAATCATTATTGGCGAAATCATTAGTGGTTTTACCAAAGGAAGCTTCTTCTAGCATAGTCAAAGCATTATTACCTTTTGTTCTGAAGGATCAGAATGAAATTTCACTCGCAGCCCTTGTGAAATCGTTTATCCATCATGGATTAAATGCATTTGAGGAAGTAAAGGATCAATTTATAAAAGAATTAAGTGCTGGACTTTGTCATGCTAAACCACAACTTCGTCGTATTTGGTTTATTGAATTTGGTGAACAAATCTTCAAGAATGATCAATTTGCAGATGGTTTATTAAAAGAGTTATACCCAGTATTATTAAAGACTTTAGAACCAGCTCAACAATCTCCACTCCCGTCATTGGCGAATAAAACTATAGTTGGTGCATTTGTAACCATAGCAATCTCAAAATTAGCCAAGGACGTTGACACCAACAAGATTTTCGTGAATTCATTGTCTTCATCTTTATTAACGAATCCTAAGATTTATACTAAATTGAATGAAACTGCTGAATTGCAATGGTATTTGAAAGCTCTTTACGAGTCTGGAAGATTTATCAAACAAACTGAGCAATCTGTCCAGTCAGATTATGCATTAGCTTGGGTATATCTTTTAACTTCACAACATGTTGCTTATGATATTAGATTATCTGCTCTTGAATTATGCAAACAAGCATTAGAATCATTGGACGAATTAAGTGGGTTAATAATTGATGCAAGTTATGAAGTATTGAAAGTCAGCAGCAACCATAAGGAGGAAATATTCAACTATTTTTTTAAGAATTTTGGTACTCTTTTCTCAGTATTGACTCAGTTGGATAATCATGACAAAGTTGAAGCAAATGTTAGAAAATTGATCATTGTTGCTAATCATCCTGAAGTTGGTGTAAACAATGGTTGGATCGGGTTGGCTCAAAGAAGTACCGGAAGTATTGATTTAGGAAAATTAATCGAAGCTGAACATGAAGCAATCGTGAATGAATGTTTTACTATTGCAAGTGAGAACAAGTCAGCAATCAGCCATATCTACCAAGCAGCACTTAAGTCTATTGGAAATATTGCATTTATTCAACCAACTTTAGTTTCTAGCTTGCTTTCTACGTTGATAATCAATAATTTGGAGATTGAACAATTTGCTGAGATTGATGAAGATTCAGTTAGAATTTTCCATGGAAAAGAAGGAGAAATGACTATTGATATTCTTGATCAATCCAGTAAGAAACAACAAGTTGTTGATAAGAACTCCAAGGATTATGAAATCAGGAAATGGGAGGAAAGTATTAAGAAAGAATTAGCAGCAAAGAAGACAGCAGCCAGGAAATTAACTAAAGAGGAGATGATATTAGTGAATGAACAAATTGCCAAGGAAACTAAAATCAGAAAGGAAATCAGAGTCATTGTGGATAAGGCAAACTTTACAATAAAATTTATTGGTCAATTAGCTAGCGAAGCTTCATTAGTAGATAATGGTGCATATAATTGGTTCCCAGTCAGTGTTACAAAGTTGTTGGGATTTTGCAATCTTGAATTTGTATTTCAATTATTCGGAGATGCACCTATTAGAACATTTTTGAAATTGGCAGATTTAATTTCTTCAAGATTAGGATTATTGAAACCATTTGTGGGTGTTGCCACTCTTAGAACATATAATGTCAAAGGATTACCAGATAACTTAACAGAGGAACCATTATTATCTTTAACGGGAAGAATTTTATATAGAATCAAGATCTTAGCTGACCAAAAGCAATTGGATTCATTATCATTATCATACATCTTACCATTATTAACAAAGGTTTTGTACAATGGTAAGTTAGTCGCAATTAAGAACTCATCAAAGGCTGCGGTCACATCTGAATTCGTGGAAGAAGATCCGGAAGAAGAACAATTATTGTTGGCCATCGAAATCATATCTGCACATGCTGATTCATTTGAAGATACAGGTATTCCAAGATCTGCTATTTTAGAGGTTTTAATTTCTTTGATGAAGTTGCCATCTAAAGCAAAATTGTCAAAAGAATGTTTCTTATCTTTATGTCAATCCATTTCTGTTAACATTTCCGAATCTGATTTACAGTTACTTTTGACAAACATCATCACACCAGAAGTTTTTGTTAGGTCAACCATTTTAGAAGGCATTGATTCAGAATTTGATTTACATGGCGAAATTGAATATTCTAATGAATTATATGTTGCAACTCATGATAATGATGCAAATTGTCAAGAATTAGCCAAGACTATTTGGGAAGATAATAATTTACAGATTGTTCCAGATGCTCCTAAGAGATTGCTTGATTTATTTGGAAACGTTGATTCTGGTTTGAGAATGTCTATTGCCAACGCGTATGCTGACGCTATTAGCCAATTAAAACAAGAGAATGAGACTATACTTGACTCCTCTTTGACCGATTTAATTGAATTATATCACGAAAAGAAGAACCCACCACCACCTAAGCTTGACAAATTTGGTTTAATTATTAAAGCTACTGTTGATCAAAGAGACCGTTGGGAAGAAAGATCAACTATTGCTTTAGCATTGAAATTGTTGGCCCCATTATTTTCAAAATCAAACATTGAAACATTATTTAAGTTTTTAGTAAATGAGCAAGCATTGGGAGATAAAGAAGATTTGGTACGTCAAGAATTACAAGAAGCCGGTGTTGAAGTTATAAAGATTCATGGTGCGGAAAATGTTGAAGTTTTGATCCCTATATTTGAAGACAATTTAGCTGCAAAGGACCAACGATCAAAAGTTCAGGATACAATCAAAGAATCAGTTATTATTTTGTATGGTTCGTTGGCTCGTCATTTGGATAATTCAGATGAAAGATTGAAACTCATTGTGGATAGATTAATCAAGACCTTAGATACACCATCTGAAAATGTTCAATTTGCAGTGTCTGAATGTATTGCTCCATTAGTTCCAGGATTTGAATCTAGACTCCAAGAATTTTTTGATTTGCTTTTTGAGAAATTATTCACAGGTAAAAGTTTGGCTTCAAGAAGAGGGGCTGCTTATGGTATTGCAGGTTTAGTTAAAGGTAGTGGTATTAAGTCATTGTCTTCGTTCGATATCATTAGAAATTTGGAAGAAGCATCTGAAGACAAAAAGAACCCTGCAAGAAGAGAAGGTGTATCATTTGCATTTGAATGTCTTTCACAAAGTTTAGGTAAATTCTTTGAACCTTATGTCATTGAGATATTGCCAATCATTTTGAAATCCCTTGGTGATTCAGTCCCAGAAGTTAGACAAGCTACAGATGACGCAGCAAAGGAAATAATGAAGAATACAACTTCTTTCGGAGTTAAGAAATTAATTCCGTTGGCTGTTTCCAATTTAGATGAAATTGCTTGGAGATCAAAGAAAGGTTCAGTTGAATTATTAGGAGCTATGGCATATTTGGATCCAACTCAATTGTCAGCTTCATTATCTACTATTGTTCCAGAAATTGTTGGTGTCCTTAATGATACTCATAAAGAAGTTAGAAAAGCTGCAGAACAATCCTTAAAGAGATTTGGTGAAGTTATCCGTAATCCAGAAATTCAAGCTATTGTTCCTGATTTAATCAATGCTATCGGGGATCCAACCAAATATACTGATGCAGCATTAGATAAATTGATCAAGACACAATTCGTTCATTATATTGATGGTCCATCATTGGCTCTTATTATTCATGTTATTCATAGAGGTATGAAGGATAGATCAGCAGCAACCAAAAAGAAGGCTTGTCAAATTGTTGGTAATATGGCAATTTTAGTCGATGGAAAAGATTTGAGACCATATTTGAGTGAATTAGTTGGCGATTTAGAAGTTGCAATGGTTGATCCAGTTCCAGCAACAAGATCAACTGCTGCAAGAGCATTAGGTTCATTGGTTGAAAAGTTAGGAGAAGAACAGTTCCCAACATTGATTCCAAGTCTCTTACAAACATTACAAGATGAGACTAAAGCTGGTGATAGATTGGGTTCTGCTCAAGCATTATCAGAAGTTATTTGTGGTCTTGGTATCAATAAATTAGAAGAATTATTGCCAACTATTTTATCATCAGCCAGTTCCACACGTAACCATATTCGTGCGGGTTTCATGCCACTTTTGTTGTTCTTACCAGTTTGTTTCGGTGCTCAATTTGCTCCGTACTTGAATAAGATTATTCCACCAATTCTTAACGGTTTAGCTGACCACGATGAAGATATTAGAGATACTGCACTTAGAGCAGGTAGATTGATTGTGAAGAATTATGCTAAGAAGGCTGTTGATTTATTATTACCAGAATTAGAACTTGGATTGGCTGATAGTAACTATAGGATCCGTCTTTCATCAGTTGAACTTACTGGTGACTTATTATTCCAAATTACAGGTATCTCAGGAAAGAATGAACTTACTGAAGATCAAGTTGAAACATCAGGTGAAGTCAATAAGACTCTTGTTGAAGTTTTGGGTCAAGAACGTCGTGACCGTATTTTGGCATCATTATTTGTTTGTCGTTCTGATGTGGCTGGTATTGTTAGAAGTGCAGCAGTGGATATTTGGAAAGCATTGGTTGCAAACACTCCTAGAACTGTTAAGGAAATTATACCTGCATTGACAACTATTATTGTTCGTAGATTGGCATCAAGTGATGAAGTTCAAAGAACAATTGCTGCTCAAACTTTGGGAGAAATGGTTCGTCGTGTTGGTGCAAATGCATTAGCTCAATTATTACCTACTTTGGAAGAATCCTTTGATACAAGTGATGACGATGCTAAACAAGGTATTTGTATTGCTTTAACTGAATTAATCAGATCCACTCAAAGTGAAGGTTTGTCCAAATTCCAAGATACATTTATTGACATTATTAAGAAAGCACTTATTGATAATGATTCAGAAGTTAGAGAATCTGCTGCCCAAGCATTTGAAGCCTTACAAAGTGAACTTGGTAAAGTTGTTATCGATCAAATCTTACCTGACCTTCTTAACAGATTGGAAGGTGACGATTCTCATAATGCATTATTGGCTCTTAAGGATATCATGGCCACAAAAGCCGATGTGATTTTCCCAATTTTGATTCCAACATTATTAGCCCCACCAATCGACGCATTCAAAGCAGGTGCACTTTCTTCATTAGCATCTGTTGCTGGTTCTGCCTTATATAAGAGATTATCTTTAATTATCAATACTTTAGTTAACGCAGTCATTGAATCTAAATCCGACACTGAAGGAGTTCAACAACAAATTGCCGACGCATTTAACAAGATTTTACTTGCAATTGACAGTGATGAAGGTGTCCATCCATTGATGCAACAAATAATGTCCTTGGTTAAACATGAAGATTCACAAAAGAGAGCGGTCATCTTCCAAAGATTAGGAAATTTCTTTACAAATACCACATTGGATTATTCTATGTACTTAGAAGATATGGTTAGTCAATTTATTCTTTCATTAGGTGATCCATCTGCAGAAGTTGTTGAAGGTGCATTTGAAGCTCTTTCTGCATTAGTCAAAAGACAACCTAAAGAATCTCTTGAGAAGTTGGTTAAACCTGCTCGTCAAGCTTTAGATCTTACTGGTGTTAGAGGTGAAGATTTAGCTGCATTCAAATTACCAAGAGGTCCAAACTGTATCTTGCCAATCTTTTTACATGGTTTAATGTATGGTACTTCTGATCAAAAGGAATCATCTGCTTTAGCAATTGCTGATATTATTGGTAAGACCCCAGCTATTAACTTGAAACCATTTGCAACTACTATGACAGGTCCATTAATTCGTGTTATTGGTGAAAAAGTATCAAGTGATATTAAGGCAGCAATTTTGGTTGCTTTGAATAGTTTGTTATTGAAGATTCCACAATTCTTGAGACCATTTATTCCACAATTACAAAGAACTTTTGTTAGATCTTTATCAGATGCAAGTAATGAGAAGTTGAGAGCTAGGGCAGTTGTCGCATTGGGAACATTGATTAAATTCCAACCAAGAGTAGATTCATTAGTTACGGAGTTAGTAAGTGGTGCTAAGAATTCCAATGATCAAGGTGTCAAGGCATCGATGTTGAAAGGTATGTTAGAAGTTGTTAATAAAGCTGGTCAAAATTTGAGTGAGGCATCCAAAACATCTATCATGTCATTAGTGGAAGATGAAATTACAGTTGTTGATGATAAAGCAGCAGTTTCATACGCTAGATTGTTAGGTTCATTAGCAGGAGTTCTTTCAAATGATGAAGCTAGAAATATCTTAAAGTCCAAGATTTTGGAAAAGGAAAATAACTCAAATGATAAGTTTTGTATATTATCAATTAATTCATTCTTGAAATATTCCCCAGGTCATATTTTCAACACAGGATTGATAGCTGAAATCACTGATTTTATTATTTCATGTTCCGAATCAACAATTGATTATATTAGTGATAATGCAACCGTGGCTATTGGTAAATTACTCTTATTAATTGGAGAAAACAAATCGCCATTTTCTGAATCAACATCAACATCCAACAACTTTGAAATCGATGAAGAAGATCTTGACAAGTTAATTAAACAACTTTGTCTTATTACTATCCAACCAAAGTCAGGTTCTCCAGATACAAGAAGATTATCATTAGTGGTATTGAGAACAGTTGCAAGATTGAAATTCGATCAAGTCGTCAAGAACAATCTTGACATTATTGTTCCAAGCATTTTTAGCTCAATTCGTGATGCAATTATTCCTATTAAATTGGCAGCTGAAAAGGCATATCTTGCCGTGTTCCAATTAGTGGAAGATAAGGATATGAAATTATTCCAAGAATGGTTCGAAGGAAAAGAGTCAATTGTTGCAATAACTGGTCAAAGCATTGTTCCAAGATCGATTGGTGATTATACAAAGAGAGTTGCAATTAGATTGGCAGGAGTTGAACGTGAAAGAATTGAAGCGGGTGGTGATGCCGAAACAATGTTTAGTGATAGATTTGAAGATGAGACTGAAGTATGGGCAGTTGGTGGAACTGAAGTGAGTGGCTCCAATTAGATAACGATTAGTCTTTAGTTAGTTTATAAAATTGTACAATATAAAATACAAGTGTTTTTTAGAATTATAATTGTAAATGAATTTATTCTCTTAGTTTTATATGACCCATTATTTCTCTAACCCAAAATATTAATTATTTATAGAAAATTTAATTTAAATAATATTACATACGTACATATAGATTTCTCTCTCATTGCTCCATATCATCCGAGTTTCTAGTAACGTCGGATTCATTTCCCATTATATGATTTTGATTGTGTTTACTGAAAAACGTCGGCATAGTTGCTGCACGAGTCAAATCAGGCATTGATAAATTTGAAGGTAGATCTAATTTCAAACTTCTCAACGGTGGTAGATTGTTCGGTAATTGTGATTGTGATTGTTTTTGTGTGTTAAGGGGGAAGTTTTCATTGGAAGGTGATAATTTCGGAGTTTGTAAATTAGAACTGGTGATTGGTGGGGTAGAAGACCGGTTTGGATTAAAATGTTGATGATCCAAACTAACTGTGCGGAATGCTGGGGTCATCATTAATGAAGCCAAATTTGTGCTACTATTATTTGCTGAAATCAGGGGAGTTGTGTTTGATGAAAGTCCGAGCACTGGTGAATTTGGTAATGTGAATGGTTTTGTATTCGGACTATTTGGTCTTGATTTCTTTAATTTTTGCTTCACATAATCTAAATCCGAATCTTCCAATATGTGTGCTTTGCCATGTGATGGTTCAGGGTGATGGATTGGTGTCATTCTTTGGAGTGATGATAGCGTATTCCAATGCTGTTTATGAGGAGATGCTGCCAATGTCGTATAACTTTGAGATTTATTATTCAAATGATGAGCCGCCATACTTGACAAATATTGTAGACTATTTGTTTGTTGTTTAATTTCATAGGAAGAATTGGCAATTTGGAATGTTGCCTTTTCATTACTAAAGTTATAATGTGATTTTTTGTTATTTGGTTGTTGACCAAAATATTCAGTTAATGAAGGTAATGAACGTGATGGATTTACTGAATTTGACTCAGTTGGTTTACCATCTTTCTGCATCATCCTCAATTCTTCTGAAGCAGCACTAGCTAAAATATCAATACTCATTGTACTTGGCATCTTAGTTAATCCCCCGGGCCTACTTAATGACAGTATAGTTTGAGCTGCTGCAGTAGCAGCATCAATACTCGCAGTTGTTAGTACTGGCGATGCTGTCGATATTGGGGACGTCATATCAACATCAGATGTGGACACTATTTCCTGTTTAACCTTATCATTATCTTGTTGAACCTCAATCTTTTTTGATTCAAGTTTGATTGTTCTCTTTGCCAGTTTGCGCTTTGTAGCAGTAGTGGCAGTAGTAGCTGCAGCTGTCGATGGAGGTGGCGTCGTCCCTGCAGAAGTAATAACAGGATCATCATTTTCTGATATATTATTAGGATTGTTTGTGTAGTTGATATTATGTTTATTCAAGTTTTTATTTCTCCGGGAATTGGGGTTTGTATGTATCCTCAAATGTCTTGTCAATTCATCAGACCTACTAAAACGTTTAAAACATCCTGGGAATGTACATGCATGCGGTTTCTCACCAGTATGGGTTCTTATATGTCTAGTTTGATGTTCCAATCGATGGAATGCCTTGTCACAAAGGGGACACTTATACGGTCTTGATGTTGGATCCTTTTTGGCTTTGGCAGCTGCGGCGGCAGCAGCAGCAGCAGTAGCAGCAGCAGAACTGCCACTGGAATCAGAAGATGAAATTGTCGATGTTGCTGAACTAGTTGCACTTGGTGATGCTGAAGTAGCCGTAGTAGTTCCTATCATTGATGTTGTATGAGTATTTTTCTCTTCAGCTTTAATAGACATTTGGTCTAATCAACTATTATTGGTGGGGGAGTCGTATGGAGAAAAGAAGAAAACCAAAGAAGAAAAAAAAATGTCTGAGTTTCAGTCTTCCGTTGTTATTGATCAAAATTAAATAAAAAAAAAATGCGGGTTCAAACTTAAAATGGGAAAAAAGGATGGTGGCCAGGTCTTGGGTTGTCTTGTCTATTTCTTTCTACCGTTTCCTTAAACAATGTCAGAAAGTTCAGTTGGTTCAAGTAAACAACTCTCTTCTTCTTCTTCTTCTTCTAATTGTTAACAATCCTTAACAAACTGCAAAAGAAACAACAAGGGGGGTTGGGGGTGTCTTGCAATGTGTGAATTAAACGGTGTGCTTGGGGGAGTTGAAAAAAAGGGAAGAGTCAGTCGGAAAAAGAAAAGAAACAGTAAAAAAAAAATGTGGATTTCGTTTCGATGTGGGTCAAAAAAAAAATTTTTTTTTATTTATTTAGATTGTTCAAAAAAGTTTTTATGGAGAAATACACACAACCAAACAAACTTTTTGAGAGGAAAAAAAAACTAACCAAACCACACATACTCTCTCTCCTACTACTCCTACGATGAGATTAAATTTGAATAGAAGAAAATGTCGTATACACTTGAGTTTGCCTCTAAAATAATTTATTGATTCAAATTAAAAAAAATTTATGGCATTGTTTTCGTGTCTCTATCTTTTTTGAAATGTGACATGTACACATACAATACCCATTAAAACCGTTATTAGACATATTGGCTTTGTTTAATTTATACATCGCTTGTACAAATGGAAGGACCTGTCTTTCTACATTAATTTTGCCATCTTTGTGATATTTTCGTTTTCATTCAATTTGATTGTAAATGAAATTTCTGTACGACTTTTTTTCCTCCTATGCTCAACGAAAAGTGGGGGTGAATTTCCCCACCTAAAAGTTCTCAAAGAAAAAAAAAATTAAATTTTCTTCAGGGCTTGAAAGATGATAGTATTTTTTGGCGTGTCTGGCACAAATATACCAAAGGAAGGTGAAAGTAAACAATTGCAACCAAATTAAAAAATATAAATTATCCGGAATGATACTACGTACTCCATTTGGTCCATTTGAGATTATAACTTGGAGCAGAAAGAATGGGAGTAACTTTGAAATAATGGTTGAACCGAACATGATTTTGGAAAGATTATTCGTCACCATACAGTGAAAATGATTTGTAGAAGTTGGAAATTGCTAATAATTGACAAGTCGCCAAACGATTTTTGAAAGTGAAATTCACGCGTAATGTCACGAAATGCCAACTTTCTTTGCCAGTATTTAGTTTTTTGAACCAACAGAAACAAACAGTATTAGGAAGTCGATGCAGAGTGAAGGGTATAAACAAAGACTGGAGAGGTAGTTTGCGTCAAAAACTGTCGGATGACTTTCTTTTTATATTTGGCACGAGCAGATAAACAGCAGCATCTTCGTCCTGTTCTTCCTCGCCGATTAGATCTTATTCCTAGCGACTCTCATTATATAAGAATATCAGATCATTAATATCTGTACCGGTCATAGTTAGATACGCACGTATTCTAAACTGTGGTCAGATCGAAACCGTTTGTAGTTCGGAGGATAGAGTATTCTAGAACAGTTACTCTGCCGCATTCAGTAATATCTCCAGAGGTCTGCCATAAATCTATCATTATTCCATTTTAAACACTATGCTATAAAGGTGAAAATCGGTCCTCACCGCAATGACATCTGTCTGTCGCGCAACGATACGCATAGAATACTACTCCAAAGCCAACAAGACAGCTGAAAGAGAGAGAATCTCAATGACTGGATTTTCGCCTTCGCTAATCTTGAAGTTCAAATTTACTTCTTCAAATATATTTGTCCAGGAAATCACAACTATTCGCAAAAATAATGAACATCAAAAATAACAACCGCCAAAGCTAAGAAAATATTTTTTTTTTGAATTTTTCGCAACCAAAAATATTTGGGTCATCAAAATTCTTGGGATTTAATATTTTCTAGAAACTCACTACCCGAGAGATGAGCCGAAAGGCAGCATTTCACATCTCCGGATATTTGTCATTTCCTGTTTTGATGGAAGTTAAGCTCCATTATCTCTTAGATGACTCATACGAACGCTGTTCCCATAGAATACCCTGACTCAAATGCCTCTTTCATCGAGGAGAATCTTTTATTGCTTCTTGACTTAATTCATATGATATTTTCAAAGACTGGTTTTTGTCGTGGATGACAGCATGCCTTAACAGACACCAGCGTTCTTAGGAAGCATGCGGTGTACAGGAGGATGGGAAAAGTTTACACAGCAAAGGGCTTTGGAACTAAATGATTGGGAATGAGATTTATTTCATATTGAATTTGGACATGAGATTATCTCAAACAACTAGTTGTATGTAGATCCATTTATATTTCTCAAGGTATGTACCTCCATTCGTTTCGAGTAGCGTATGCTCTTGTTCAGAAGTTGGTACACATTGTGCTTGTCTAGACCTATCGAATTGTCGGAAAACCTACATAGATTCGCTCTTCT